AGTATTCTATAATAATATATTTATTATTATAAATAGCTTATAAAGTTTATATACTTTCTACTCTACTAAAGTCTATTAATATAAAATAACTTTCTTATATATTTTTAAGAAATATTATTAGTATATATAATTACTAAAGAAATTATATCTAATAGAGAAATAATCTTTATATTTAAGTTTTAATAAGAATTAATAACTTAAATAAAATTAAATTATAAGCTTATAATAACTTAAAAACTATAAGTAAATAGATAAATAAAAAGACTTAATTAAATAGTTAAATAGTATCTATAATATTATATTAACTATAAGTAAAATAATTAATTTAAAAGCTACTTATAATATAACTAGCTATAATATATCTACCTTAGAAATAATAAAGCTTATACTAACTTATATTAACTTTAAATTTACCTTTAATATCTATAGATTATTATAAAAGAATTCTTAAATATTAAGGTAATTCTTAATACTAACTAGCTATAATAGCTATATAAAGAAATAAAATAAAACTAGAATTTATTAAAAAATAAATAAAAAAATATTATAACTAAAAAAATTAAAGAGATTAATCTTCTAAAAGAGAATATAATTTACCTTATAATAAAAAATATTATAATAAAAAGCTAAATAATAAATTAAACTTTAAATTTATTAAATTTTATAAAATTTTAGAAAAAATCTTAGAAAATAACTATAAATTAAACTTACTATTAAAAATTAAGCTTTATTAATTTTTTATATTTTCTTACTTAAATTAGCAGTAGATACTATTTATATTAAATATAAAATAATAATTAAAAAATAGAAATTAAAAATAACTAAGAATTTACAGTTAAAATAATTCTTAATATAAAAGAAAAAATAATAAAATAAAATATCTTATAAAATAAAAAATTACAACTTCTTAAAAATATATAGAAATTCTATAAAAACCTTATATATTATTAAATTAAATTAAAAAACTTTCTTAAATAAAAAAGTATTAAAAAATATATATTAAGATAGATTTTAAGATTTAATTATATATAATACTTTTTAAAGAAATTTTATTAATAAAAATAGATATTAAGAGATTATTAAAATTAAGATCTTACTTTAAATTACCTATAATAAGAATACCCTAAAGAAGATAATAGTAAAAAAAAGCTTATTTTTTTTAATACTTTTTAAGCTTATTTATAGATTAAAGGCTTAATAAATTATCTTTTTATCTTTTAATTTTAATATATACTTTTAATATAAAAATATATTAAGTAATTTAAGGCTTTATTTAAAGTAGTTTATACTACTATTATTTACCTTTTACTTTTTTCTTCTTTTACTTTAAGTATTTAAACTTAATATTTATTTTATTTACTATTTAAAGTATTAATATATAGAAAATACTAAGAGGAATAATAAATTATATATATATTTTAATAGAGATATTAAAATTGCTATAAATATAGCCTTATTAGTATACTTACTATATTAAGATAACTTTTTAATTATTTATAGAATAAACTTTACTTAAAATAATAAGAATATAATATAATATAATAACTAATAATTTAAATAGTATAGTAAAGAACTATATAATATTAAGTAGTATAATTAAATATATTATTAATTTATTTATAATAATTAAAAATTAAGTTAAGCTTATTAGAAATAAAGCTAATAAATAGATAATAAAATTATAAAATCTTAAAATAAAATTTATTAAAAGAGAGATATTATATTATAGTCTAGCTATAACTTATATTAAGCTCTAAATATAATTTATTTCTTTAGCCTCCTAAAATAAAATATAATTTAGCTATTAATAATTATTATATAATTACCCTAATTATTAGTAATTATAATTATAGTAATTACTTTATAATTACCTCTAATTACTAGTAATTATAATTACTATATAGGTAATTATACCTAATTATATTAATATATAAATAACTAAGTAGTATATATTTACTATAAGTAGCTACTTAGCTATTAATATAATGTAATTATCTTAATTATCCTAACTTACTATATATTACTATACTTAATTATTACTAGATATAATATTTATTTTATAAGTAATATTATAATTACTTTATTAATATAAACTTATAATTTATCTACTAGTAACTAATTTTTTACTTACTTTAAATTATATTTATAGTAAATTAGAAGATATAATTATTATACTTATTATATTAATAATATAAAAGCTTTATTAAAGTTAATTTATTATAGTAAGTAATTAATTATATATAATATATTATTTTAAATTAATAATTTTAGCTATTTAATTAAGTTTTTCTAGCTTTAATAAGAAGCTAGTTTTTTATTAGGTATTTTTTAATTACTTAATAAGTTTTTAAAGAGATAATAAGTTAGTATTTTTAGTTAGAAAAATAATAAGACTTTAAATAAGATATATTTAATCTTATTATAAAGAGCTTTTTATTTCTTATTTTATTAATAGAGGATTTTATCTCTTATTTTATTTATAAAGAATTTTATCTTTTAATAAAATAGTTATATTAATTTTATTTAGTAAATAATTATTAAGTATTTATTAATATTTCTTTTTATTAAAGTTAGTTAACTTAAAATAATTTATTTTTAAAACTTTAAGTTTTTAATTTTACTTATTAATTTTAAGTATTTAATATAAGTAGCTTAAATTATTACTTTTTTTTAAGTTAATAAAAGTAAGTATATTTATTATATAAATAGTAATTACTTACTTAATATTTAAATATAAGTTAATATAATAGCTTTTTTTATTATAGTAATTATAGCTAATTTTAATAAAAAGTTTAATTTTTTTACTTTTTTTTATTAAGAGTTTTTATATTTATAACTATATAAACTCTTTATAAAGTAATAATTAGAGTATTTAAAGCTTTTTAATAAAAGTAAAAATAATTTTATTAGATAGTTAACTAGTATTTATTAAGTAGTTTTATATAAATAATATAATTTAAAAAATAGTTAATATAGTAAACTATAAAATACTATTATAATTATTTAGCTTTTTTATATACTCTTATATATATAACTTTATATATATAATAACATAAAGATATAAAATTACAGCGGAATATAAAAGTTAATTTTCTTATTTAAAGAACTATCTAAAAGCGGTAAGTATCTTATTTCAGTTTACTACTGAGTTGTTAAATATGAGAAAAAGTCTCGAAATCGTCGCGGAAGATAAGTGCTAAAATTACCTTGCTCGGAGAATCTATCCGAAAGCGAAAGCGATAAGCACCTTGATTTAGTTTGCGACAGAGTTATCTGCGAGAGGAAAAGTCTTGAATTGGTGATGGAATACGAGAGTCTGGAAGTCCAGACCGTGGCAATATGCGATCTTGAAACCGTGGCGGAGTCCAGACCGTGGCAATATGCGAAGGATTATCTCGTACCCCAGGCCCTCCATCGTCCTTTTACAGGTAGGAGGATGAGCATCTAATTCGTCTGTGATGGGTCGCACTCCGTTTATCTAATTACGATCCGGCTTATGTATCCTGCTCCACCTCTTATATCCAACTAGATGCTCGGTTGTTACTGTCGAGGAATTCCAACGCCTTCAGTCTGTAGTTTTATCGGACTGTAGTCTGGTCCCCAGTCTCCAGGCCCCTTAAAACCAAATTGTGAACAGCCTCTAGTAACTGTATTCCAGCTATCTAGTCCAGGATGCTATTTATATCAAAGATGAAGAAGAAAGAAAGAAGTTCTCAAGTGCCCCTGAACTGTGGAACGATTTCTCATCCCTGGCGCGCACGAGCCTAGTACGTCTTGCGGCACAGCCGCAAGGATATGGGCCCTGGCCCGTGACAGCGACATCTTGCTGCCAGCACTGCCAAGAAACCCCATTGGCATTAAAAGCCCCACCTGCAATTTAAATATGGGGCTAAATAAGAAAGTAAATCTGAAAAAGAATCTGAACGAGAATCCGAAAGAGAATGAGACAATAGAATCTGAAGCAGAGAGAAGAGAGGAAAAACAGAGATGGTAATATAATAAAAAAAAGAGAGAAAGAGAGAGAAGGAGAGAAGGAGAGAAACAGGTCCTACTTTTATAATCCTACCCCTTATAAACGCCGCGCGATTCGCTGAAACGACACTTCCTTCCGCATGCGGCGTCTCGTACTCTTTGTGGGGGGATCTCGTGGAGTTGAATAGAGAGGTGCAGGCTAACTAATGCCCTGCCCCATGGGGTACTGTGAGCAACCTCAACTCCGGTAACCTGTTTTCCATCACGCGGGACAGGCGACCCCACATGACCTGCAAGCCTCGTATTTTGAATGCGGAGTACCTAGTGCCATCTATCCCAGAAAATTCGGTATCAACTGGCCATCCACAATTGTGCGGAGTCTCGGGGAGTATCCAGACGATGCACTGAGACAGAGGATCCACGAGTCCTCTCCAGAATTAGCGAACCCCACTGATAGTAGGGCCGTGCTCTTTGCCGCAGATTGGCCACCTTTGCAGCATTTAGGGAAAAATTGTCTGATCTCAGATGATCATATTTGCCTGCTAGACTAAGTCTGGCTTCACGCGGACCCCCACTATTACGCGTTCGGCGGTACGTGCTTCACACATAACTTATGCAGGTAAGCTTTGACATTTTGGGAATGATCATCCTATGTGGCTTTCTATGTGGTTATGGCATCGCGGAGTCTCGGGGGTGCCCCTTGATGGCACTACATGATGTTTCTGGGGTCACAGGATACCACGGATGTTAGGCTCTCTAGCATCTGACCACCGGATAAAATGGTCGTTTTAATGCGGGGTTACGCTTCGTAACCTTCCAATAAGTCCAAGGCGCGGAGTATCGGGTTCTAGACTACGACGGGAAGTGAGCGACAAAGCATCAAATAATGAATAAGATATTGTCGTAGTACATTTCTCACGGGTTGCGATTCTGAATGAGGAGTATGCGATAACGATACTATATAGAAAGCCTTCTTTTCCCAATAGTTCTCTCTCTACATCCACTTCTCCTACCGTCAATTCATAATCATGCTCGATAGTCAAAGCGATATCGCGTACACCGCCCAGGCAACAGGCCGACATCCCGCGAAATCGCAAGACACGCCCTTCCTGTTCACTCACGCTGTCCAAGCTATCAAGAATGGAGATCCGATTGAAGATGTCGTGCAAAGACTCCTGTCTGAGCTTACCAAAACTGAGCGCCTACATCTGCTCGATGGGGATGACGAGTTCTGGGTCGGACTTCGCAAGATCATGTGCGACCGTTACAACAAAGTTCCTTTTGTTCACGGAGAAGTTTCCCGCCTAGGAATCCCAGGTGTTCGCTTCTCAGACGGCCCCCGCGGAGTCGTCATGGGTTCCTCGACAGCATTTCCCGTCTCTATAGCCCGCGGGGCGACTTGGGATGTTGCCCTCGAGCGCAGAATCGGCAATGCCATAGGCCTCGAGGCTAAGGCTCAGGGTGCAAACTTCTTCGCCGGTGTTTGCGTTAACCTCCCGCGCCATCCAGCATGGGGTCGCATTCAAGAGACCTATGGTGAAGATCCGTTGATCCTCGGACATTTTGGGCTTGCTCTCACGGAAGGAGTGCAGAATCACATAATGGCATGCGTAAAGCACCTCGCACTCAACTCCATGGAGAATGCTCGATTTCGAGTGGACGTCAAGGTCTCTGATGATGTGCTTCACGAAGTCTATCTGCCACACTTCCGACGCATCATTGAGGGTGGAGCCGCCTCCGTCATGTCGGCATATAATTCCGTCAATGGAGAATGGGCTGGCCAGAATAAGAGGCTACTCACCGACATCCTACGCGGCCAGTGGGGCTTTGATGGGTTCACTATTTCTGATTTCATCTTCGGCCTCCGGGATGCAGCGCTTTCAGTTAAGAACGGCCTCGATATCGAGGCTCCCTTCAAACAACAGCGTGGACTCCACTTGAGCTCGGCATTGGAATCGGGAGAGCTTCAGTGGAGAGATATCAATCAGGCTTGCTCCAGAATATTGAAAAAAGAGCTCGAGTTTGAGATCAAAACTGAAGGCAGCAATCCGGACTCGTCGGTCGTGTTCTGTGAGGAGCACCGAACGTTGGCGAGAGAAGCAGCAAGTCGGGCTGTTGTTGTTCTCAAGAATGATGTCGTTGATAAGTTCCCGCTACTCCCGCTGGATACGCAGAAGCTATCCAAAATTGCAGTCTTGGGCCGCCTCGCCAACGTCGGCAACACGGGTGACCGAGGCTCCTCACAAGTCTTCCCACCTCACATAGTGACGGCGTATGAAGGTCTCAAGACCGCGTTCACCGACACTGAAGTCTTACTAGAGGATTCTGACTCGGTTGAAAAAGCGAGGGAAGTTGCGTCACAAGTAGATGTGGCCATCTGCATCGTGGGCTACGACGCCGCCGACGAGGGCGAGTATGTCGTCCCATCACTTCAAAATGACCCTTTACTGGGTGACCTTCTTCCGCCCGTCAAGGCCGAGGAAGAGCAGAATACCCTGAACATCATGTACGGAGGCTCTTCCAATGGACTATCAAGCTCGGCTCTCGAGGTGGGATCAGGTGGTGATCGAAGATCATTGAGACTCCGCCCGCGTGATATTGAGTTAATAACGGCAGTGACTGCCAAAAACCCGAGAACTATTGTCACCATAGTCGCTGCAGGTGCCGTCATATTGGAAGACTGGAAGTCCAAGACCCCGGCGCTGCTCATGAGCTGGTACGCGGGCTCCGAAGGCGGGCACGCTTTGGCTGATGTACTGCTCGGTCGAGTGGATGCTAGTGGCAGGTTGCCTTTCAGCATCCCCCAAGACGAGTCTCATCTGCCATACTACAATATCGAAGCTTCGGAGATTTCTTATGATCGTTGGTTTGGACAGCATCTGCTGGACAAGCTTGGTGTTGCGGCCTCTTTTCCCTTTGGATTCGGCATGTCCTACTCTACATTCGGTATCTCAGACCTCCATATCGCGATGCTCGGCTCAGGTATTGCAAGCAATAACCGAGAGTACTTTCTGGTACATCTTAAGGTCGCCAACACGGGCAACAGGGACGGCAGATATATTGCTCAGGTGTATGGGAAGCCAAATCAGCCGGACTTTCCATCCCGAGTTCTCCTCGGCTTCTCGCCAGTCGACCTAGCTGTTGGCGAGTCCAAGAGTGTTTTGATTGATGCATCACTACGCCCCCTGCAACGGTGGGTGGAAGGAAAGTTTACCCTTCCGAGCGGTCCAGTCGTTGTTGAGGTTGCATCCTTCGCCAGTGACCCAGGCGCCTTAAGATCAACCATCGATTTGTGATTGCAATTCTTTAGTATCATAAATGTATTTGTATGGATATACTATCATTATCATTTCGCCGTAGCCTTTAAGCTAATTTTCTCGCCTTTGCATTGGCAGATGGACCTCGTTATAATTGATTGCCCGTAATGGATATAGAAACAGAAGATATAACTGTATATTATATATGTACGTCTGAGGCGGTCACATCTCCCTTGTTGTGATGAGGATAGGCGCATGAAATATGTGTAGAAGCTCTTTATTTCTAGGCAATCGAGGGCTTGAAGCAGCCCTTTATACACAGATAAATGTGAAGATTTATGTAAAGGCCGCCTACGCCGCGACGATCTCCAAGTAATATGACACACCATCAGCTCAAAGCTCTTTCAATGAGCAATGGCACTCCCAGTGGCCTGGGAATTAATAAGTGTCAACGCTTCCTCAGGCTTGGCATATGGTACCAAATGACCAGAATCCTCTGCCTCAACATATTTTAAGGGCCCGTACCCTTTCCAGCGACCTGCTGCTTTAGCACCCACGTCTTCATGGCGAGAGCTCTTGGAAGGTAAAAAAAATGGGTGGTCATACCAGTTCAACCCACGATTGGTGAGACGCTCATGCCCGTAATCGAGCCTCAGTACAGCAATGCCTCCGGAGGGTTTCCCTCGCAATAGGGTTTCCGAAATACAGATCACCCCTGCTACACATGCCAAGTATTCGTCTGCTTACTGCAGGACAGAGACTTCGACAGGCTAAAGAGATAATCTGCAAGCGGGACTTTGCAACTCATAAGGACTTGAGTAGTTGTCGGATCAAAAGAACTGTGGTGTCAAAACCGCTTGCCGCACATTGCCAATAGTAGAGCATCTCCAGAGTTGCTTCGACAGCATTCCTCCATCCCCTTGGTAGGATCTCTGCAGCGGATGGAATGAGGTTGAATGCAAGCAGGATAGTGGCACTTCGAGCTGAAGAGCGCATCATTAGCCACGTGCCATGATGACGATGGTAGAACCCGGGCCGGTTGACCTCTAGTCTTTCTAAATGAAACTCAAGTCCCTTCATAGCCCACTGGCGGATTCTTGGTGTCTCGTTGTTCTCTAAGAGAAATTCCCGGAGAAATGGCCACGAAATCAGCTCCTTTAGGTACGTAACTCGCCCCCTCAGCACAAAGCGGAGGACATCGTCTTCAACCACTGACGCATCATGTTCTGCCAGGGCGACTGGTGGGGCTAGCGACACTCTCCAATCTGCCAGTTGCTGGAGGGCATTATCGCCAAGGTCGGCGAGCTTGTCGAAAAGACTTCCGCTGCAGTTCTCCAGCAGAGTAAGCATCTCATGTTTTGCCTCTGTCTCCAGACGCCACAGAGAAATCTCCGAGAGGTAGAAATACCAAGCCCGGAAGTTCTGTCCGTCAGAGCCGCCGGGAAGGGATGGAAACTGCTGCGGATGCTCAACCCTTCCAAATTTAGAGACGCCAAGCTCCCACCTCACCTCCTGCTCGGACTTCCAGCAAGACCAGTATACACTCTCCTTGGTCGTCGCATCGGCGTTGTCATTAGAGTCACTGGCCCAGTCAAAACTGTCAAAACTCTGACACGTGGCAAGCGCTTGCAAGAACATGCGCCAGGCATCAAACGGCCGTAGGATGGACATGAGGAAGACGCCTGAAAGGAAGAGGCACTGCGCTTGGACGACACCGGGGGACATCAACAGCGGACCGAGCCGTTTCTGTGCCGCGGCGAAAAGGGCCATGGCGGCAGGTGGAACAACTTCAGGCTGCTGGATAGGAGGGCTAGGGAACGGCTCCACCAGGGCTCCGTTGGCACAGACGAGGAGGGCAAGGCATGAGTGGGCATCCCAGCCGGCTCCTTCCAGACAGACTCGCAAGACCAGGCGCCGGATGGTTCTCTCGTCGGTGATGGGATTCTTAACATGAACTCGGTTGAAGAAGGCATCGAGCCAGGTGTTGCAGACAGCGGCGTCGAGCTCGTCACTAATTGTCGAAAAAGGCTCTTCGCGGATGGACGGGGTGTTGCCGCACAGCAAGGGATCAGGCGTAAGGCCAGCCACAACGTCGCGGAGGACGGGCCAGCGCAGAACGGCATCCAGATTCTCGGGCAACAAGGCCTGTAGCTGGGCAGTATCTGTAGAAGCATTGTCTGATGCTACCCCACTGCGATGCTCAGCGGCACCGGATTGGAGAAGCTGGAAGCTGGAGGCGTCGAGCTTCTTCTCCAAGCGCTCCAGACGCTCAATGATGGCGAGACTAGCCGGGTCAAAAGTGGAGAAGTCGTGAGGTGTAGACACGCACGCGGCTCCGATCTTCTGGCAGAAGGAGCACGACGGCTTCTTCTGGTCGCACTTGGTGCGTCGCGCCCTGCAGACCTGACATGCTACGACAGCCCGCTTGCGTGGATAGGCAGCGCTCGCGCGGCTGGTCTGGGCAACGTGCGTGGTCACGCCGGTCTGCTCGCTCGGCCGGCCTTCCATGTTGGCATATCTGGGAGATGTGGAGCAAATCTGGGGTTTGTTGGGGTGATGGGGGATTGCTGCAGGCGTCGGATTGTGTATGTGTTTTCAGGTAGACGGTAGACGATGCAATGTGTGTTAAAGCAAGTCTGCGGAAGTTCGGGGAGTTGGCGCAGTCGTGGGACGTTTGCCTGTCTTCCCCGCTTGCAAACCATCAAGCTTGAAAGAGTGAAGATCTGCTGCCCATTTAAGTTAATTACTCCGTACCCGCAACAGGAACCACCATGGGGAGCTAAGTTAATGCCTAGGGCTTGGTTCGCTTCGCAGTGAACTGCTCCACTCCACTTGCTTCATGACCTTGTCCCACTTTGGTAAACCTGGGGAAATATCTTAGGACTAGGCCCACTCGCAGGTCAGACCGACGGCGCGGAATGTCGGGTCAACTCCGTCTACGCTCTTGATTGTGATTGGGGGTTGTGGCGGAGCTGACTCTTCCATTTGGCTCACATCTTTGCTCGACATTGTGACATTGACAAGCATCACGCACATAGGTATACAATCAGCGTCAGTATATTCTGTTGACAGCTTCAACAGAACCAGCCATCCAGGGAGCGAGCAATTTCCAACAGTCAACCTCTCTGACAATCATGTCCTTAGCCGCTGTCTCCCCCGTTAAGCCCGAAGCTCCGCATCATGTCGAGCATGGCTTCGCAGATGGTGACGACTTGACCGGCAAAAAGCAACATTCCTCCTTTTTCGAGGAATTCAACGCCAGTTAACACAGGCTACGCTTCAGAGATGTGACCAGGAAATACCCAGAGGTCATCTGGTGGTCCGTTGTTTGACGGATCAATGGCTATTCCGATCCATTGGCAGTTGGGATGTGGATGTCTTCTTGTAAATAGCTTCCGCTGGTTAGCGCTAGTTTTTCTTCTTTCTTCAATTTATACAACATGCTCATTTCAATAAGAAGCCTATCCTAGAGGTTGAAAAGGGAATTGGAGATAGTGATAGCGGCAGCAGCTGGGACGTGAATGGCTGGAAGAGAAGGGAAGGAAATAAAACGATTGGATGAAAGAGCTACTGGCAGCTGCGACAGCGTATCAAGTGAAAGCATTCGACTGGAAAAGGAAAGGCAATGAGCGGCAAGCAATGAATTGATTGAAAGGAAGAAAGCGTGTTGTCCAATAAATGGGCAGTGCCTGCTTCAAGGAGGTGACCAAGATGGGTCATTGGCCCTACGGTCATTAAACCCCAGATGTCTAAGGCCCACCGACACAGGATCTCTAATAGGGAACCTCAATGACACCGTTAGCTACAGAGTTGCAGTCTGCGTTACCCATGTTTCCTCCGTTGCCAAACAACAACTTCTTCTTGCCCTTCACAGTAATAATCCTCAAGCTACGCGAGTAAGCCGACCACTGGCCCACATTGACCACCTTCCATCCATGCGGATCAGCACTATCGTCATTGATGAGAACCGGTTCAAGAGAACCGCCGCTGGCAATGATTACGCCTGAGCCGTCTGCCTTTGCTGGGTTGGGTGTCCAGATGACATAAGGGGAGCCGTGAGGTACGCTCTTCTTGGTATCGTTCCCGACAAGCGCAATGCCTGTCGCCGAGTTGAAGTCGAGGGGATTAGCGGCGGTCTTGTAATACACTGCACATTTTGCTGAACCGCAGTACTCGTATGTCATGATGTATCGCTTCGTGGACACGATGTATGCGACGGTGGTCATGCCCGGCCGATCATTATATGCAGAATAGGCGACGTCGTTGACTGCTGCAGACCAGGTTTGGAGATCATTGGTGGTAACGTGTACAAGCTTTTGGGAATGTGCTGAGTCACGTTGATCAGAGAAGTAGCACACCAGTTGGCCGTTGTACATCATGAGAAAGGGTTCCCAGATCGCTGCATGGCCGCTGGTGATATCTTCGGGACCGTCCCCGTAGGCGATGTGACTGACAAATTTCCAGGTTGTTGCATTGTCCTGACTGACGTAGAGATCAATATAGACTCCACCTTTCAGACTGTATGGGGCGGAAACGCCTGCGGCAAGCAATGTACCCGCGGGATATCCACCGAACGCTTGAGGCAGAGTATACAAGAACGGTTGGAAGCGCATGCCCCAGCCGTTGACCTGGTCTTTGATGGCAGAGAAGTTGGACCAAGTTGCGCCGCCATCCACCGATTTGTAGATGGGATGGTTGACCAAGGGAGGTTCTGCTGGGTAGTTCTCCCATGTCATGAGGAGGGATTCATCTGGCAGCTGTAGAGAGCGTGCGTAGAGAGTCTTCCATTGCACGGCGTTGGCAGCGGGAAAGAAGAAAATGTTATCGTTAAAGTCCGTGAATGCAGCTGGAGTTGGGTTTGGCGTAACACAAGCCGATATCGAGAGAATGCATGGCAGCAGAAAAAGGCTGCTGATGAGCTGGGTGTAGTGCATGGCTTTGATATGATCTGGTAGAGACGGCCGATCTGGCTTGTGGAAATGAGACTGGAGGATGGGATGATGATGGGAGGAGTTGTCCTAAGACGGCAGATCATTGGGCTTTAAATACTCATCCTGGAACTTGAGAAGGTGTCCTACTTTGACAAAGCGAACGAGCAGTTCGGCTACAGGGCATCCACGTGGGGGATGAGTGTCTTGAGAAGGTTCATCGAAATCAACCATCTTCTGCACTAGCCTATCCTTCCCCACCGGGAATTTGCACTTCCCCGTGGGGGATGGGGAGAACCCCGCAATTGAAAGGGTTATGAGATCGAAGACATCTGCTAGACGTTAGGCTGTTGGTTCGCGCGGGATTGTATGCAAGATTCTATTACCGTTACCGGTTTGCCTCGTCGACAGTCCTTGCCTCAACCAATAACGCATCTTTGATTGAGGGGCAGTTCTGCATGCATAGTACACGAAGGGTTCCTCTTGGGGAGTGTCGGGAACTCTCCACTCTGCAAACCTGGAGAAAACCAGGGGATTGTGTTTTTCCCTCGTGAAGATATATTGGTCTTGTGGCCGATTGCCCTAATTATGAAATAAAGGGTCGCGCCCCATTGCACCGAGCGCTAAAATTTGTATCAGCAACCAGCCACAGAGTTCGTTGTGTGAGATTTCTCTCCGTATGCAAATGAACCTTGCAGGTCGCGTGTTGGAAATCAGGAACGCCCGAGTTCACTAAGCAAGGACAGGCGGAGGTTCTAAACGAGGTCCATTATGACTCGTGACGGGATTAGCCTGTAATCTAGCATACCGCTAGAGGCAGGTTGAGGTAGAAGAACTATTGCGGAGTGTCGGGAACGAACAGAACTGTGCGACAGTCCCCACACCCGGCAAATTATGGTCACGCAAGCGAGGATCTGGGATGCGAGGGGCCGGATTTATTGCTGGGCAACCCATTCGCACCAGAATCTAACGCCTGGAAGGCATGATTGCTTGTGCTGAGGACGGCTCTCCACCAGATTATTTGACCAGCACCAAGTTTATGGGTGATGACTTCGCGTAAGGGAAGCCGATATAGGGGAAGCATTGCGGAGATCACCGAGGTGTTGATCTAGTGAGAAATTTGACATGTGGATTCTTGGACCTGTGTTTGGTGTGAAGCGTAGACCTAATCGGTGGCTGGACCAATGCTGCTTACCAGACCGTACATGAAGTCCTGCACCGAACCACGCGTTTCCCGACATTCCGCTTGATATCTAGCCGATCGGCTGGGGAATATCACCAGCAACTGACCAATGCGTTTGCGCTAAATAACCACTAAGTAAGTAGCTGCACCTATTCCAAGAATACGCTAGTCGCGAATATCAACGGCGCCATGTCTTACGAGAAATTACCACACGGTCCCTCCCCATTACTAGCCAAGAACACTCACCTAAGATGGCATCAGTGTCAAGCCATGCCCACGAATGAGACGACACAGACGATTCATATCTCGATTTTATCCAATAGTCCTTGGTACTTTTAATTCAAGCAATTAACCGGTCTTTTTATCCATGGGCTGGGGTGATTTCCAGCTAGGAAATCGCATTTTTGGACTCAGGATCCAACATTCTATCAAGCCTAATAAGGAACGCGAGCGGTTGTGAGGACTTGGGACTGGGAACCCCGCTCAATGCCGTACGGGCGGATTCTTTACCGGAAAGTCATATAACTCGCGACATCCTCTCGCCGTCAGTGATTTCTCTACTCAATTTCCTCAACACTTGAGTAGACAACTCTTCCTATCCCCCAGTTTGTTTATAAGTCACCCATTTGTCTCCCAACATGGCGATCAATCCTAGGACCTACCAAGTAAGCTGTCCTGTGTAACTTACTCTTGCATCTGTTAACGCCACTAAACAGTTCCTGATTGGGGTTTTTGCTTCATTGGGCTCCTTTCTTTTTGGGTACGCATCTTGGTACAAATTTCGAAAGCCCGACCACTAACACGCTTGCAGATACGATCTCGGCGTCATTGGTGGCGTCGTCGCATCCAAATCCTTTGAGTCTACTTTTAAAGATCCAGACGCAAATGAGGTGTACGTCCATATCGTATCCAATTTGTGATGAGAGCTAATTTTTGTCCAGCGGCGCTGTGGTCTCCGTTTTTACCGGCGGCGCCTTCTTTGGTGCTGCCGTTGCCGGACCTGTTGGTGATTGGTTTGGGCGCAGACTCACCATTATGATGGGTGCCATCGTCTTTTGCTTAGGTGGCAGCCTCCAGACAGCTGCTCAGAATCTCGGGTTTTTGTACTCTGGAAGACTTATTGCGGGATTGGGGGTTGGGATCATGGTTATGATCATTCCACTATACCAAGCCGAGATTGCTCATCCTTCTATTCGTGGACGGATCACAGGTCTCCAACAATTCATGTTAGCCATTGGAGCCACTGTCGCTGGTAAGTGCCTTCCTTCGTTCCCGCAATATTATCTCAACGGCGCTGAACTTTTCATAGCTTGGACTACCTATGGCACCAATCTCCACCTTGGTCCTACAAACAACAACCAATGGCGCATTCCCCTTGGAATCCAGATTGTTCCTGCTGGAATATTAGCCATTCTTATTCTTCTCTTCCCAGAATCTCCAAGATGGCTCATCGATCACGGAAAGTCGGAACAAGGCTTGGAAACACTAGCTCGACTACACGCCAGCGGTAACGACCAGGACGTCTGGGTGCGATCTGAATACCAGCAGATCGAAGCCGCCATCGCGCACGAGCATGAAAACTCTGCTAAAGGGTATCATGATTTGTTTACGAACAGATCGAGTTTCCGACGTCTCGTTCTCGTAACGGCACTCCAAGCATCTGTACAGATGACTGGTGTTTCAGCAATTCAGTACTTCTCTCCGCAAATTTACGCCACCTTGAAAATCCCTACGCAAGATGCGTTGAAGTACCAAGCTGTCAGCAACATTCTATCTACTCTGGCGATTCTTTGCACTATTCTCTTCATCGACCGACTTGGCCGCCGCTGGCCCTTGATTATTGGCAATCTGATTAATTGTCTCTGTTTCATCATCGTCACAGCCTCAATTGCCTCTTTTCCAGACTCGTCGCCCTCAAGTCAACATTCTTTAGGCTGGGCTTTTATCGCGACGAATTGGGTGTACCAGATATCATTCTCGTTCACGTGCGGCTCTCTATCATGGATCATTCCTGCAGAGATCTTCGACACCAAGACCAGATCTAAAGGTGTTTCGCTGGGCGCGATGGTGTCATTTGCCTTCAACACAATGATTGGACAAGTTACTAGCCCAGCTATCAACAGCATCAACTGGCGCTACTTTCTGCTGTTTGTTGTATGCAACTTTACGAATGCTGTCTTCTTCTGGGCCTTTATGCCTGAGACTGCGAAGCGCCCACTCGAGGAGATGAATGTCCTGTTTAGTGGCTCGTCATGGTTTGTTCCGACAATGAGGAGGGAGGACTTTGAGACCCATGATCTAGAACACAGGCTAGCAGAAAACGAACAGAAGGAGATGGCAATGGCTGTTGAGCATTCAGCGGATCACTAAGGCTTTTCGTATGGATCTAGAATAGGGTGAAGCGATGGTATACGCCCTTCTATGTATCGTCGCAAGTACCACAAGCCTAAAGTCCTCCTCAATCCTACGTTCAATCTGACATTTGTCCTTGATAAGAATGTTCTAGATTATACTTGTTGATAGTCCCTCGACGAGGAGACTTAATATGTCCATCGTTGGGGAAGGATTGCTGTGTTTTACTAGTTATATTATATCATGCATTGACGTTAAGTTATAGCTTTTTATGATATAAATAGAGTAAGCCACAGCTTTTAAATCTGCTATTGCTATATTTAGCTATATAGATACATATGTCTATATATAACATATTAATGTCTAGCGGCTTAAACTATAAGGGCACTGATTACTAATATATATATATATATATATATATATGTTAGTGGGACTAGGGTGTCCCGTGCATGTTGAAGAAGCGTCTCATGTTAGATTGGATCATGTACAAAGCATCCGATCGGGTGGTCACGTAGTGACCTCCAGGGTCGAGACCGCCTATTGGTGCAGATACCTCAGGCCCCCACTTTTAGTCGACAGACACTCAAGCGATCACAATAGGGGCAAATGGGGAGAACATAGACAATACACACACATCAAGTCATCTGAGTGCCACGCTAGCTTTCCGACATCTCAATTCACGCCTAAAATTGTAACGGCTGTGCTAGACCGCTATACCATAGGGCAAAACACTGGTCAATAATCGCTATTGCAGCAACTATTGGGCACACTAGCTGACCTTTGAAGCCTATCGCTGTTCCGGAGGACCAGGCCGTAACAAAAATGTAAAGCAACTAAGGACGCAGCTGATCTCTCCCGAGACAGCCCAATCGCTGCTTTAGCTAGCAACAACACAATACATCAGATTCTCATGCAATCCAAAAGGGGCATAGCTTTCAACAGTTACAGTGGGTAGTCCTTGTAACCCCGAGAAGTGTTTGATTGGTTAAACGAAATAGTTTTATTTTCCTATTGCATAGATTGAATGGATAATGAAATGCTGTCTCATTTCTGTCTCTATACTTGAGTAGTTACGGGGTCTACATTCGGCATCTCACAGCCAAGAAAGTAGACATTGCGTTACTTCAGTTGTAGTTGCGTTTCCGCCAATGTCCCGAGTCTTTGGACCATCTGCCAGCTGCTTCTCGATGACTTGTTGTAGATGCTTCGAGGCCTCCAAACATTTGTCATCGCCGCGTGTCTCCCCGAGCCAGTCAAGCATCATCACAGCCGATAGCCACATGGCCACCGGGTTAGCGACGTTCTTACCAGCAATATCGGGAGCACTTCCGTGTGAAGGCTGAAAAATGCCGTGGCGCTCGCTGATATCGCCTGATGGCGCAACCCCGAGTCCCCCGACAAGGCCGGCAGCCACCTCCGAGACGATATCGCCGAAGATATTCTCGGTGACGACGACATCATACCGCTCTGGGTCCGTGACAAAGTACATTGCGCCCGCGTCGATATAGTACTCGGACCACTCGATGTCGGGGAACTCGGTGGCAATCTCCTTGAACACCTTCACCAGCAAGGTGTTGCTGCGCAGGGCGTTTGACTTGTGCAGCAGGGTGACCCTTCCCGGGGTGCCGAGCTGCTGACGCCGGTGCCGGGCCTGATTGAATGCTGTTCTGAAGAGCTTCAGGCACGTCTTGCGCGTGACGGTCATGCGGTCGGTCAGCTCGGAGTCATTCGGGGAAAACGAATCGTTCAGACCGGCAAACATGCCCTCTGTCGTCTCGCGGATGACCAAAATGTCGAGTTTCTGATCCCTGCCGAACTGCATGCGCGTCGGTATGCCGCGGTACAGCCTCGCTGGCCGGAGGCTGGCAAACAGGCCGAGGTAGCCGCGTAGGTCGACCTGCGGCCCGCACTCGGTGCCGTCGGGCATGCGCACGTCGGGCAAGCCCATGGCGCCGAGGAGCACGGCGTCCAGCTCGCCGATCTCGTCCATCTCCTGCGACATAATCCGGTGGCCTGTCCGTCTGTAGACCTCGGCGCCTAATTCGTAGACGACATAGTCTAGTGTGATGCCGTGACTGGGACAGAGCGCATCTAGCAGGGCGAGGGTGGATTTGATGACTTCGGGGCCGATGCCGTCCCCTGGTATGATACCGATTTTATATGCTTTCTGCGTCATGGCGGTAGATCTAATGAATCGTCTGACTTTTTTGCTTTAAGAAATCGCGATGTAAGGACGAGAATAAACGGGCAAAAGGGCCTCTTATTACATACTCTGGAGATGTTAACACACACCTATTTCAGAAAGCTTGCTGTCTTGTTGAATGCTGCTTAGACACTGCACCGGATATTGGCGGCAAGATACGGAAACCCGATACCGCACCGGTTGGAGAAGATATTATTAACTACCACGGGACGAGGTTGGTAGGCGTAGTTTGAGCGAAGCCGAGTGACGGGACTCCGTTAGTATCCGAACATGGAGCTACAGACTAAGACTACTAGGGAGCGGAGCGACCGCGGAGGGCCGGATTAGAGGCGCCCAACAGTAGTATTCACGGCATCCGAGCAAGCCGGGCGGGTAGCCGGTGCCTCTTCACCAAATCTTCTTGGCTACCCATTCCCGAAAGCCACATTTTCCTCTCCAGCATCATCTCCTCTGCTGCGAATCCAACCCCGGCCCGGAAATTGCTATTAGCTACCACGCCCTGTTGGTAGTACGGAGTAGACTTGTCAGCACTCGCAAGGAGGGGTGACTTCTCAACCTCGCCCGGCGTCCAAAGACATCTTCTCGGCCCTAACCTGGAACGCATTAGCCGTCATATGAGAAACCTCAACCCGAATCGGAGTGGGGTAACTTATATTCGTCTACAGCGAGAATTTCCGAGGGCAACCTTTTCCCCTGGGGCAGCCAGTCATACATCCCCGGCTACGTTTGGATGCATGACTGAAGCGCAAGAGACTTGCAAGCGTGGGAATGCATTCCTCGCGGCAATAAGAACAACCCCAACATCCTGGGCATCGAGCTCGAGGGTGAGGTAAGTGGATATTTGTCAGATAACTGCAAGGGACGTGAAGCATCAATGAGCAGTCGCTCACCACGCTGTCAGCCGCCGCAACCCCGGGGGAACCGGCGGAAGACAAACACCCGGGGACAAAGATTGGTAGGAAAGAGTCAAATTTAATGAAAGTAATACTAATGTTAGACGGTGTTAGAAACCTATGGAAATCACGGCGGAATCTCTGACCGCAACATAGTAACGCTCCCATTGCGCGTCCTCCGCATTTTGAAATAGGGCCGCATGCCCCGCGCAGCGCCGGAGTCTCACCACCCGATGATTGTCTGTCGATGGCTGAGTGTGCCCTTAGGTCAGATACCGGAAATGCCTGTGCTTATCACCCATTTCGGTGACATCCAGCGTCTCATTGAAATCTGCCGGTCCGAGCTCCCTGTCCCTCCACTTGTTCTCCCTCTCCAGGGCGAAGTGAAGGCTCATTGCCAGAATAACAATCATCCCAGTAAATGCACAGCCGATGGCGCATCCTTTGGTGTAGAACGGACTGTATGAGTAATTTCTTCGTTAGCGTACAGTTATCTGTTAATAAAGCAGGTAACTGGTTTGCTTTCGACTTACGCATCGCGGTCTGGAAACACGGTGCTGCTCACAAAAGACGAGCACTGGCCCAAGGTGGCCAGCATGGCTAGCCCGGCCCCCTTTTTCGAGTCACCTCCTTGGTTGTTGAGAAGCCAGGTGATGTTGAGAGCTAGCGACGGGAAGATGCCGCACGCGGCAAACCAGATTCCAGCGTACCGAACCCCTGTTTGAGACCCGTCGCGGACCAGGGTGAGAAGCAGATACCCGACAACACTCATTGCGGAGAAGGCACTAATAATGTACCCCCGTTTGCCGTACCTATCAGATACGTACGCGCTCGCGATACAACACAAGAAGGCAACAAAGTAGACGGGAGCGGTGAGCCCTTGTGCGTTAACCGAAGAGTAGCCCATCTCTCGAAGGATGGTAGGTAAAAAATTAGATAGGGCTGCGTACGAAAAGTTGCAGCAGAAGTGGATGGCGGTGTGGACATAGTTCTGGTAGTCTGATAAGCCGTCAAATACCTGCGACCATTTGATGCCGCTCTTCTTGGTCCGGTCTCGCATATGTAGCCTCTCAATAGCATGTGTCCGTTCGGCCTCAGTTAGATACTTGGCCGTATCGGGCGAGTCGGGCAAGAAGTGATAAGCGATAACTGAATATGCCACAGTTGGAGCGCCCTCTGTTTTGTCAACCTGTCAAAATAGTCCTGGAAATAAGGGATACGCGTGCCTCACCGATGATAAACAGATATCGCCATGGCTCCATCGATCCACGGATATGCTTGATGCCATAGGCTAGGGCGGAAGCAAAGCAGTTAGCAAGGGGAGACATGCCCAGTAGCAGGGAAACGCGAAACCCCAGCTCTCGTCGGCGGTAGAACATAGACAGAAAGTATGGGGCGCCCGCTCCAAATGCTGCTTCAAAGACGCCTAAGAACGCGCGGCAGACAACAAGCCCGGCCATATTCTGTGCGGCACCAGAGCACATTGCAGCAGCTCCCCAACTGGTACATGGTCAGCAACCGGAACAACGCAGGGAGATGTAGTAAAGGATAACCCTACAGAACACATAAGACGCTAACATATATGTGAGCAGGAAGGATCTTCCACATGATGGTCGTCCATTCAAAGCAGACATAGCAGATGTAAAACGCGTTCAGAACCCAGGACCATTGCGAATCGGTCAAGCCTAGGTCCTTTTGAGTCCCCGCTGCTTTCGCATTGCCGATATTGCCACGGTCGAGGAAGGACAGAATGTAGAGACCGCACATGACTGGCATCAGACGTCGGTCAAACTAAGTAGGCAGTCAAAATTAGCCGGGAGTGCTTCTTCCGCCACATTTGAAAAGAGGGCTCACAGTGGTCCGAATATGATCGCTCAGTGCTTCTTGTGGTTCAATTGTATGGGCATCCCCGAGCGAAATTGAGTGTTCAACATCTCCTGACTTGGAGCTTATCGTGTGTTCAAGGACTGACATGTCTGTCTTTAGCAAGTGATGGTATAAGATACGACAAATTGTATGTAGAGTTGAGTCAAAAAGACGGCCACAAGTATCAAATGCTTAGGTCCGAGTTGTGGGAATTCCAGCCAGCTTTTATAACATGAGTCCTATAACCTTCTCCGCAATCCGAATCTCTGCGGCAGTATCCACGACTGCGGGCCAAATGATTGGGAAGTACTCCGCAGTCTCGGAGCAGAAGCTGGGGGAACTAAGCTGAGATCGCAACGTTGGAAGTAGACCACTACGCTGGCAAAAGTGTAAGACACCTTACAGCAGGTAACAGTGACAACTAAGCCTATACCACTTCTGACACGCAGACCCCATGGGGAAACAAGTCCCGGCAATATGCAACCTCCGCATGTATCCTGGGATATCCGACACCACGTATCCCGGCCTGTATGATCCCGGGGTAGACTTGCACGGTTTCGATAAGCGTGATGTAGCTTGACTGTGCAGGGTTCCATCGGCAGTACTTCTTTTGTCAGCTTGGACTCTGGCTAAGTAGAAGTACATTTGATCCGTTGCAATCTGATTGCTGTAATTCGTTCTCCACACGCCTTACGGCTGCCCAAGGCATAGTTGCGAATCGGAAGTGATTCCGCTCTTTTTAATGAACAATCTCTTCGGGCGCTTGTTGTAGATCCACAATCGAATCAAGCCGAGGGCCATTTTAAAGGAAATGAAATGTTCGTTCGTTCCCGCGTGCAACATGTCTTAAGATAGCTGTCACCCGTCTCCCAATGATATCCCTACAGCACAACCCCGCGCTCTCGGGAGTAGCGCAGTTCATGCGAAGTCTGGTAAGCCTCTGTACGAGGTGTTTCTGGAGCGGTTGGTCTATCTTGAGAGTTCGGTCTCAAGCGCAGCAACAACTTTAGCACCAAAGTCCCTGAGACCAGATGTTTCGTCGGTTGCCAACCGACGAACTTAAATTGTCACATTTCTGGGTCATATCCTAGACAACGTGACTTTCCTTTCTTTCTTCTCTTTCTCAGACCACATCGCCGGCCCTGTGACCACGATCCCGGCCCCTGTGCGGCGGCGACGGACTGCCGCCTCCGGCAGCAGCCGTCTTCATCATGTATAAAAGACGGGCTCTAGGCCCGTCCCTTAGCTAGAAATCAAGAGCTTTCATTATCATCATTGTGATCCTATCCACTCAGTGTGATATAAATGGATAGGAAATGAAAGGGCGCGACTATGACATTAGGCAGCGGACAAACCTAAATTGTAGTAGTTAAACGGTCAGTTATATAAATTTTACTCAAGTATAACTATATATAACAAATACCTAAGCCTTAATAATGCTCGAAGTGTTAGTAATTTGCAATACTGCCTTCTTAGCAGAAAGCTTGCCATCTTGCAATAAGTCTATAGGCTTGTGCAACCTATTAAGCCCTTCTTCCATCACCTTATACGGATGGCTATTAAACTAACCCTCTATGAGACCTAGGCTAAGAAATGAATAAAAGACAGCCCCAAACTTGCGGTTGCTGAGCTTTATGCCTGAGGGGGCATCTGTATATACTGTACTTACTATGGTAAATAGTATCTTAGCTTTTCTAGTATTTTCTTTTATAATATTAGCTATTTTAGTAGTTAGTATTAATATAATCTGGCTTTTTTTAGCTAGAATATTATTAAGGTTTTTAATACTGTTTTTTTTAGATATAGTATTAAAGATATAAATAATATTAATATTAGTAATTTTATATAATTTCTTAATAATATAATTACTATTTTTTTTAATAATTAATAATAATAATTTTTTAATTTATTAAATAATAATTTAATATTACAAATACTATTATTAATAATATTAATAATAAAATAGATATTTAAAAGTATAATAAGCTTAATAATATAAGCTTCTATTATATTTATATTACTATAAATAATTAATAGTAATAAAATTATAATAGGCTTTTAAAAAAGAAAAAAATTAAGCTTTTAAAAGAAATTTATAATAAAAGTTATTATAATAAGAAAAATAATAACAGCTTTTATATATAATTAATAAGCTATTAAAATAATATAAGTTTCTATTTAAAAAAAAAAAAAAATCTTTAAAAAAAGTTCTTTTTAATAGTAAAAAAATTAACTTTACTTAAATAATAAAATATTTAATAAAATTTCTATTAAAAATACTAATTTTATAAAAAATAGCAACTCAATCGCCAGAATAAAACCCCAGCATACCTTTACCAATACCTTCTATATAGCCCGCAATATTATTACTATAGTTAGTAGCTAGGGTATCAGATACTACCCAATATTTAGAATACTTCTAGTCCTTAGGGTTCATTCCCGATACTACAGTTCAGACGAGGACCTGGCCAGGTCCAGGACTTAGCCTGGGAATATTGCGAATCTCAACCTGGAGATCTTTATCATAAACAGCTTCTCTCATTTTGATAGAGGTGATTGACGACGAAATGACAGTGATAGGGAAACAACGAGGATGAGTGATGAGGATAAGAACTGGAATGTGCTATGAAGGTGGAAAACTTGAGACTCAGAGCCAGCAGAGACCATGGCATAATAGGGCACTCTGGAAGCTCTGGTGTCTCGGAAAGCAGCCGCTAGTTGGGGGAGTTATTAAATCTTGGAGAAAAAACATTCGCCCCTAAGCTGACTTGTTACCCCAATTATTGTTGGGCCGAGAGGCGGGGGCTAGCAGGCAGTTTCCTTATTTAGACTTTCTGGTATAATTCACGGATGTTAGTACCAAAACCGAGACCGAAACCGAGTTCTTATATACTCTGTTGCCGATAGCGAGAGCGAGCTTCAGTAGGCTGAACGGTCGGATATAGCTAGCCCTCTTTCCGGATGCTTACTAGTGACGGGTGACGGCAGTGACGGCAGTGACGAAATGAGGAAATGAGGATCCTCGAAAACAGCGACCACAGACTGACGTAAGGCAGAACCGCCAGATGCGGGCATATTTCAACAGTTCTTGCTTACCTAGAGGGACCTTTAATCCGCCATTCCTTGGTGTTCCTGTCCTGAGGCCTCCGCCATTATACTTTACGCCATGACTTCCGTCTTTGTGGGATGAACTGAAAACTGAGATCTCGAACCTTTAATTGTGTTCGTCCGAGCGAGGTGAGAGGCATCCACGACTAGTCCTGAGTGCTTCTAGTTGCTTGAGGGTCTTCGAGTGGGGTCGAATAACGGTGTACTGCACACACCGAAGGTTTATCCAATCCGGTCTGCATTCTAGCGAGTTTCCGTGCTCTTTGGTGGGGGGTTGCCAAGACTATACATGTCCCCGCTACGCCGGTAGACGGTACCAATAGTCTGTGAAGAATTCATCCAAGAGACATGCTTAGTGTCGGTACGGAGTGTCCCTCGGGTGCCTGCCTACAGTCCGAGGTCAAGAGGAGTTTGCTCGGAATGGGTAGTATAAGAAGAGGCCATCAGGATATCCGCTTGCCTGTTAGACCGCTTTAATGTAAGAAGCCACCCCTGTGTTCTAGCTACACCTCATTACAATGACACCCAATCCTGAGCCGTTTACTGTCCCTGACCTTGTGTCCTTCACCAAACTCTATCACCACCGCCCATTGCCCTACATCTCCCCTACGCGTCCCTCAAACGCTGCAAGGTCCAAGAATGTCCTCGTCACCGGCGGCGGCACAGGCATCGGCAAAGCCACTGCCATTGCCTTCCTTCAAGCCGGAGCAGCCTCCGTCTCTATCCTTGGCCGGCGTGAAGCTCCCCTTTCATCTACCGCCGACCAACTCCTTGCCCTTGTCGGTCCAGGAGGGAAGACGCAGGTTCACTTTGAGGTTGCAGACTTCCTCGACAAGCAGGCGGTCGACGCCGCCTTTGCCCGCATTACCGCAAAATTTGGCCCCATCGACGTCCTTGTGAGTAATGTTGGCGCTGCCGCAGGCCCTTCTCCTCTTGCAACCGGCGACGCGGAGCAATTTACGCGCTACTGGGGCCTCAACGTCATAACGGCGCTTCATGCCCTACAGGCATTTGTACCACGCACTTCGAAGCACCCAGTGGTGATCAATGTGACCAGCGCGATGGCGCACGCGTCCCCCGCAGTCGGTGTGAGCTCGTAAGTTGCTTATCCTAACGCCCGGCTTAATCACAACTTGTGAACGAGAGATGGACGCTGACGCAACTGGTTGGGTAGCTACGCCGTTAGCAAGGCCGCGAACTTGAAGTTGATGAACTACTTCGCTGCTGAGAACCCTAGGATCCGTGTTGTGAACCTCCATCCGGGAATCATTGACACGGACATTGGGGGAGGTATCAATAAAAGCATTGCACAAGACGTGGGTGAGTGGATCCCATTTTTATGATACGGGATGCTAGCTTACATGTGAACAGTTGACCTCCCCGGGCATTTCTGTGTCTGGCTGGCCTCGGATGAAGCTAAGTTTCTTAGCGGGCGTCTTGTATGGGCGAACTGGGATGCAGAAGAGCTGGTGGCGCGAAAAGAGGAGATTGAGGGTTCGAGACTCCTGACTTGGTGTCTAGACGGAGTGCCTATGTAGCTGATTTTATAGCGACAATAGCTCCTGGATTCTTAGAGAGCTTTAAGTGAGTTATTATTGGTGACGATAGGGGCGGTGGATTCCGCCCTTCTTAAGAATAGCCTTTAGAAGGTGTTTCAGGGCGGGAGCCGGAGAGAGGTGGACTTCGCGGATCAGGTCGGAGGGAAAGAGGCGTTTTTAGCAGAAGGTCAAGGAAAAGGGTCATTGGCAAATAACTGTAATTAAAAGAGTGATAATACAGCCAAGAAAATGAAGTCTCGCAGTCACCAGCTAAGAGGGAGGTCTCGTTCCATCCAACTGTTGAAGATGATGATGATGCTTGATGACTTTCCCTAGGAAATCCGCGAAAAATCCTCCCCTAAAAACCCTCCCCTGCAGCCGGCTACTCAGGACGTTGAGATCCTAGTCCCCTCCTGTGATCCCAATCCAGCCCAGCCCGCATCAGTCCACCATGTTGTTTCCACTATGGACTAATATCACTTCAGCAAGGCTAGATTACATTTCGCTACTGAAATACTAGGTCAGCAGCAGGATTATTTGGAGTCACTGTCCGCATTTTAAATTGAATGAAACTGAGGTGCTGCTGTTAGTAATGACAATACTCAGTTTCATTCTACATAATGCTAAGAGTACTAAAACAATAAGTAATTCTAGACCTGGTTATCACAGGCCCGTAGCGGGAATAATTAACAGTTTAGAGGCTGATACATATACTTGAAATAAAATTGAAGCCCTCTTCTGTATCCCATCAGAGAAATTTTAATTCTATCAACATTAATGAGTGAGGGCGGGAACCGGAAATCCCCGACTCATTAATATAGCCAGACACTATCTTAAACAAGCACGGAATACTAAAGAGTTCAGACCCAGGGTTTGAAGTGCTCTTATAGTTGAAGTAAGCTTGAGCAGCCAGTTGCCTTTACATGTAGTTTTAGACTTTCTGACTCAGTTCAATATCCTCTCAAAAAGCCCATTTATCTTGAATGGTGATAGCCCAACTTCAGTCTTTCATATATCCTTAAATTGAGCCATTCTCCACTATCCCCATCGGCCACTTCATTTTCTTATGCCAACCAGGTTCTATGTTCA